AAATCCCTGTTTTAGTAGAGTGTTTTACGTATTTGATTAGTTTTTCCGTTTTAATACGAATTTGTATTTGGACAAGCAGGTTAAGTTGTAGAAAACAAGATGGGAGGTGGATTCAGAGTACTCCATCTTGTTCGTCCATTTCTCTCGTTCCTGCCTGAAGTTCAGAGTGCTGATCGAAAAATTCCATTCAGAGAGAAGGTTTTATACACTGTGATCTCTCTATTTATTTTCCTGGTATGCAGTCAGTTACCTTTGTATGGCATACACTCCACAACTGGTGCCGATCCGTTCTATTGGATGCGTGTTATCCTTGCTTCAAACCGTGGAACTGTCATGGAACTTGGAATCACTCCAATTGTGACTTCTGGATTGGTTATGCAACTTTTAGCTGGGTCAAAGATCATTGAAGTTGACAACAATGTTCGGGAGGACCGAGCACTTCTGTAAGTACTATAGTTCAGTAAATATGTTTTGATGTTTGGTTATCCTAAACTTGCTGGATCCCTCTCTCGCATGTTGCTTCCCTTTAGTTCCAGTTGAGCTGTGTGTTTGATTGGTTCCCACTCAGCTTTTAAGCTCGATTATGCAACAATTTTATTAGGATGATGCATTTGGGAACATGTCAAGCAAACCGGCCTATCTGTGCAACATGCTCGCAATCCTTATATGGTTCTGCATACTTGTGCTTACTGTTTAGTCATGTTTAGTCCCAATTCTAATGTAAGCCAGCAAAAAATGTGCTGATGGAAACTTTGTAAGCTCCAGGCTCCGGTTTGTCCTTTTGTCAGTATCTTAACAGTTAGCAACAGTCGTTGCATATTGCTGATAATAAGTTGTAGAAATGTTGAAGTTGAATTGGAATTATATCTTTCATCAAGAATGGTTTATGCTAGCCCAGACAAGCAATGTCAGTTTAACCCTTCTAGACAGAGATGACACAGAACTGCACCTTTCTCCTCTTACATCACCCAAGCTATGGTCAAAATCCCAAGTTATTGGTTGACCACCTTGAGTCTGCTAGTGGAACAAGTGTATTTGAGTTCCAAAGATAGCCAAACTTTGTTGGCTCCAAGAACGAGGCCAGACCTCAACAGGCACTGTACAAGAACCTGCACGGTTGCAGGTTTTGCCCGGATTATACTAGTATAGACAATAGAGACCATTTATTCCTCAGCTGTTTGCTGACTGAGAAAGTGAAAAAGAAAGTATTAACTATTTTTGGGATAAGTATGTTCAATTTGCAAAAAGAAAATAGATGGAAGACTATAAATGAAGTAATTGAAAGTTTGGGTGTGATATCTGTTTCTTAAGTGCATCTTATCTGTCAAGTGAAATTTTAAGCTCGTCTTTCCGCATTTTTTGTTTGTGGCATTGCACTTCACTCAATTAACCAGTCGTGAGTTTTTGTTACGTCTGTATGCCTTTGTAGCTCCACTTTCTATATTTTTAGACTATGTAGTCATTCTGATTAGCTATAATAATCTCGCAGCACTTTCATGATATCACTCATCGGTATTCTTTTTTGTTTCAGGAATGGTGCACAAAAGTTATTAGGGATTCTCATAGCTATTGGTGAAGCAGTTGCATATGTTCTCTCTGGCATGTATGGCAGTGTTAGTCAGCTTGGGGTTGGAAACGCAGTGCTGATAATTATTCAACTGTGGTTTGCTGGCATAATTGTTATTTGCCTTGATGAGCTCCTTCAGAAAGGATATGGTCTGGGCTCCGGTATCTCACTTTTTATAGCTACCAACATGTGGTAAGCTTCTGATCTTATCTCCTCTCAATTACACAGGTACTACAACTTGTTCCAAACTTTATTGAAATTTTGCTGGTTTCTTCTCCAGCGAGAACATCATCTGGAAAGCATTTAGTCCAACCACAATCAACAGTGGTCGTGGAGCTGAATTTGAAGGAGCTGTTATAGCTTTATTCCATTTATTGATCACTCGAACTGACAAGGTTCGTGGACTTCGTGAGGCATTCTACCGGCAGAACCTTCCGAACGTAACAAACTTGCTTGCCACAGTCTTGATCTTCCTTATTGTTATCTACCTGCAAGGGTTCCGTGTTGTTTTGCCCGTAAGGTCAAAGAATGCCCGTGGACAGCAGGGTTCATATCCAATTAAGCTGTTCTACACTTCCAATATGCCCATTATCTTACAATCAGCACTTGTATCCAATGTTTACTTCATTTCCCAGGTATATGCCTTTTTTGCAGATAACATTAAACAAATGTTAGTGGTTACCTAGTTCTGTAAGCTCTTTACAGCGTCATCATCTGAATACATTTTTATGTTCGCAGTTGCTGGATAGGAAGTACAGTGGCAATTTTTTTGTAAACCTCTTGGGCAAGTGGAAAGAATCTGAATATTCTGGTCAATCTATACCTGTCGGTGGTCTTGCCTATTATATTACTGCACCATCAAGGTAAGTTATCTCTCTGTCTCACAATAAGCCTCAATATATGGGAATTTCTTTTTCAAAACTTCACTTGCACTTATGACTCCCAATTGCAGCTTGGCGGATATGGTAGCACATCCTTTCCACGCTATATTCTACATTGTGTTCATGCTATCAGCATGTGCCTTATTCTCAAAGACTTGGATAGAAGTATCAGGATCATCAGCAAGAGATGTGGCTAAGCAGTTAAAGGTATAAGCTGATGATTTTGTCTATTTTCACATTCTTGTGTGCTTTTATACGAGCAAATAAATGGGGACAACACTTCACAGTTAGAAGAATTACAATGAAAAGAGCTTGCTTGTGGCTTAAATTTGTTTGTGCTAGACAGATACAAGTAGTGATTATACCAGAATAGAATTGCATTGCTTTTTCTGCGTGAAGATTCTCAGTGTAGATTTTACTGCAAGACGGATTTGTAATCGAGAATATCCTTTTCTTTTATTTATCCAGGAACAACAAATGGTGATGCCTGGGCATAGGGAATCGAATTTGTACAAGGAGTTGAACCGTTATATACCAACAGCTGCAGCCTTTGGCGGTGTCTGCATTGGCCTGTTGACTGTGTTGGCTGATCTGATGGGGGCAATTGGTTCAGGGACAGGAATTCTATTGGCTGTTACTATCATCTACCAGTATTTCGAGACATTTGAGAAGGAAAAAGCCAGTGAAATGGGTTTCTTTGGTCTTTAAAACAACGCCTCAATTCAATTTTGTTTACTCTCTATCGCGTTGCAATGTGTAAGTAGGTTTTCCTTCTCTTATATAGTCCGAGATCAGAGAAGACTGCGTTTGTGATTAGCTTCTACGTCGTGTATCAACTATAGCTTGACTAGGTATAATCTATTTTGTATCAAAGTTACTTACTATTCTTGCTAGTTGATAAGGTTAGTGAAAATCTTTGAAGGAACATTTAACACACATTTTGAAGGTGTTTCATAATGAGTTATATAACTGAGCATTTGCAAGTCTATTGTGTAAATTTCCAGATTGCTTGCAAATCCTTCTTTATTTGATTATTTGTGCAAAGTCAAGATTTTAGTTAGAACATGTACGTTACTACTTTTATGATTCAATTTGTTCGTCGAGTGGATATGAGAATTTTTGAATTTTATGATCTTAAACATGTAACTTTACTATTTAGATTCGATATTTTAAGTCGCAACTAAGTTTAAATTCTTGAAGAAAAGTTCGCTTATGATCAATTATCACTTACGAGAAATTATTAATTTATCATATGTATCATATAAGTTTAAATTCTTTAAAAAAAATTTGCTTATGATCAACCAATTAGGAGAAATAAATAGGGCTGGGCATTAACACCAGAAAATCGAAATATCGTACCGAATCGATTTTTTTTTTTGTATTTTGGTTTTGGTTTTTTGATTTTTGATTTGGTTTATGTTTTTGTATTTTTTGATATTTCCGTTCGATTTTTGGTATGTAATTTTGTGTTATTCGGTATTTCGATTTATCGAAATATATTATATTAAATATATATTTATATTATATTAATTATTAATGTTAAATAATAAATATTATAATTTAAAATAAAAAATTAAAAAGTAAAAGACACTTTTTGACGTAACTATTTTTAGCCTATTAAGCTGAAACAAACAAAAAAAAATTGCAAATTTTTAAAAGTCCAAGCAGGCCCATTAAAAAAACCAAAATAACAACACCGAATCGAAATAATAAAAACCGAACCGAATCGAATTATTTCGGTTCGGTGTTTAGTACACATGGTACAAGAACTGAAATCGAAAAAAAACCAAAATCAAACCGAATTACCGAATGCCCACCCCTAGAAATAATTGAATAAGTTTAGAATGAATAAATTTTTTAAATATTATTGATATATTTTTCCCTAAAAATTTAAAGCTACGATATCATTAAATAAACATAAAAAAAACAACTGTATTTTCAGATAAAATGTCTATGGAAGCTAACTAAGCAAATTTGAATGACCATGAAATCTAAGTAAGAGAAGTTCGAATGACTTTTCAAAGATAAAACAAAATTAATTTTAATATTATATTTCAAATTCATAATATAAAAGTGTAATAAATTTTATTCTAATCACCTTAAAAATTAAATATATTTAAATTTAAATCTTAAAAGTTAGATCTAACTCTAACTGTCCCATATTTTTCTTGATCTTGTATTTTTTTTTTCTCCTTCACATAATTTCACGAAAATAATGTACAATATACCACGTGATCTTAGTTTTAAAAAAATGCTAAATATTAGATAAAATAAAATTCAAATTTAAGTGCTGAATATGAAATTTAATGTAATAACTATAATTAATATTTTTTACTTTTTATTAATATTAGTTAGAAAATTTGTTAACATAGCAACTTTTACTCATCTCTTTGGTATACTTTTGATACAAACGTATTTAACTGAGTATTCTTCGCTATTTACAGCTGTTTTCTAACAACAATAGATCCCAAGATTGTGTCAACCAAAATCCTTTTTTTTTATATATAAATATAAAAAAAAAGTAAATATCAAATACATCATTCAACATTTCGAGTTTTTAGAAATCACTGAACTCTCGATCATAACTTACTATTATTATTATTCCTGTTTCTACTTTAGAAATCTCATTGGCACTATGACAATAACTAACTTGAACGCCCCGTCACCGTCACCGTCACCAACTCCGGCACCGGCACCGGAACAAACTCCGGCATGGTCACCGGAAAAAACTCCGGCACCGACTCCGGCACCGGCATCAACATTGGTTGAACAAAAGGAGAATCCAATGAACAAGTCATGTGGACAGATAATCAATTGTAAAGAAGCGAAAAATCAAGTGTTGTTCTCCGTTCCGATGATTGTAGTGAACGGTTGTTTCTACTTCATCAGCCTCGTCTCCGTCATGTTTGCCGGACATCTCGGGAAGCTCGAGCTGGCTTCCTCGAATCTCGCTAATTCATGGGCCATGGTCACTGGTTTCTCATTCATGGTACGTAAAAATACATGACAAATTCTTAGCACTTGAGTCATTATGTTTAATTGTGTGATCATTTCGTTTAAACATTAAAGTTGTCGGTACTATACTTTTATTTACTTAATTATATTTTCAACGGAAGTGAACTCTGAACTCGTTGATTGATCATCTATATATAGGTCGGGCTAAGTGGTGCACTTGAGACATTATGTGGTCAAGGATACGGCGCGAAAATGTTCAGGATGTTAGGGATACATCTTCAAACATCGAGCATCATATCGTTCTTCTTTTCTATCGTTGTTTCTGTCATTTGGTGGTATTCGGATCGAATTCTGATTTTACTTCATCAAGAACCTGCAATAGCACATGAAGCAGGGGTGTTCTTGAAGTTCCTCATACCGGGATTGTTTGCGTATGCTTTCTTGCAAAACATTGTGAGGTTTCTTCAAGCTCAATCGATCATCTTACCTTTAGCTTGCATCGCGGTTGCAGCTCTAGTTCTCCACATTGGCATTGCTTATGCTCTGGTTCATTGGACACATCTTGGTTTCAAAGGAGCAGCATTAGCTGTTTCGATTTCATTTTGGATCACATTCATCGCGTTGAGTCTATACGTGCTTTTCTCCAAGAAGTTTAGTCATATAAGGCCCGAAGGTCTCTCATCCGAGCCACTTCAACATCTTCTTTCAAACTTGAAGTTGGCTTTGCCCTCTGCTGGCATGGTGTGGTAAGAATATTTTGTCTCGTATCTGTTAATTTTTGGTATTACAATCAAACCTCTCTATAATGACGTCCTTTGTCTGAATATCTTAGTCGTTATAAAGAAAAAGTTGTACTTGATAAATAATGACTATTATAGAGAGGTTTGACTGTACGGTACTAATAGTCTTTAATTGATGTGTAACAGCTTGGAGTATTGGGCGTTTGAGATTCTTGTGTTATTAGCTGGTTTGATGCCAAACGCGGAAACAACTACTTCTGTCGTTGCAATGTGGTAAGTTTTCACCTCGGTTTTGAAACACAAGCAAATTTTTCGTATTTCTTGACAGTCGAATTTCAGTTGCTGATCTAGTTTTTTTGTGTTACAGCGTAAATACAGAAACCATAGCCTACATGATATCTTATGGCCTCAGTGCAGCTGCAAGGTAATTTCTTATCTATTTATTTCCTTCTAATTCTAATGCTAAAACATATCTACCGTTGAATTATGCGATAATATCATTTAAACGTTCAAATTATTAGAGATATCGCGACTTCAATTGCTTGATTCTGTTTCCTAGCCCCCTAGGCCAAGGTCTGCACGGAACACTATGTTGATTTGTGTGACCATGTCGTATGATATTAGACGTATAACTCTTATTTACTTAATTATGTTCTCAACGTGCAGCACGAGGGTGTCAAACGAGATAGGAGCAGGAAATATCCGCAAAGCTAAACAAGCTATGGCTGTTACTCTCAAACTAGCTATTGTTGCTGCACTCATAGTTGATTTAGCCCTAGGTTTTGGTCACAATGCTTGGGCTGGCCTCTTCAGTGATGAAGCGGAGATTATTCGTAAATTTGCCTCAATGACACCTCTCCTATTAGTCTCTTTCTTGTTCGATTTCATACAAGGAATTCTATCAGGTTAATAACTTTCTTTGCATATATATATATATGTGTGTTCGCGACATTAACATTTTAGTTGGAATTGAACAAGCTAAGACGTTTAACTTGTAAATGAATATTGATCATCAGGAGTAGCAAGAGGATGTGGATGGCAACGTTTCGCAATGTGCATCAACTTGGCAAGTTTTTATTTCATTGGTATGACAATAGGCGCAATCCTTGCTTTCAAGTTCAACAAAGGATATAAGGTAATTCACGTTCAATATGTTTTGTATAAAAGTTTAACTTTTATATACTGACAGAGTATCGTTTTTTCGTTTTGTTTGTGAATTATGCAGGGTTTATGGGTAGGGTTGATTTGTGGTCTAGCATGCCAATCTACTAGCTTGTTGCTATTGACATTCTTTATAAAATGGGGAAAAGAAGATCAAGTCTCAAAGGATACCAACAATGAAAATGAATCCCAACCTTAAATTAAGCATAGAGGTTATCATGTAATTTACTTGCATTGATCATTGATGATTAATCGAGGGAATATATCTCGAACTATCGTAAATGGTAATGCCTGGGCACAAGGAGTCTAATTTGTTCAAGGAGTTGAAACCCTATATATCAACAGCTGCAGCTTTTGGTGGTGTCTGCATCAGCCTGTTGATTGTGTTGGCTGATCTGACGGCGGCAATTGATTCACGACAATTCAAGTTATTTTCATCAAACTCTTAAAATTCTGAACGGGTTTAACGGGTGAGCTATAGTTTGGCTCATTTTTGACACCCCTAGTTGGACTCAAGATAATTTGAATTGAGTTCAATCTCAATCTATTTTAATAGAATCCTCAGTTGAGCCTAATTTAATTTCTAGTTTCGACATGTTTTAAAATCTTTTATTTGCATTGATGTAACGTCTGTTTCTATATTGAATAAATGCATTTCAATCTACTTTTATCTTTTAAGATTTATCTATCTTTCGTAATTTCTTTTTTTCAATTTTTTTTTCTTGAGTTGAGATTCAAATTGTGGTTATGAAATTTAAATAACAAATTAAAATGATTGATATTGCGTGGGTCAAGACCCAACCCGTTTTAAGCACATTTGAGCCTAAAGTCCACTTGGGTGGGTGGGTGGGGTGAGGATTCAACCCAATATCTATTTCAACCCATTTTAATATCTCGAATTTCAACTCAACCCGCTCATTTGACACCCCTAAAATCAACCAAAGTATTCTAAGATTCCTAATATTCCATTAAATTCTATTAACATATAGTGTCAAAATCGCAATGATTTAAAGTGATAATTAATTCAGTCGACATTGTGATACTTGTGAAATTTCTAATTTAACATCAAACGCAACCATACAATAGATAAACCAATAGATAATCTATGCCTAAAGTGAAAACTCATGCAAATTTTAATAGTCAAAACAACTTTATATTTGATTTCTTCGGGCTCAAAACCTATTGAACAAATAAACTCCTCGTGAGGTACATTGAATTTCGAAATCTTACTTCTCCAATGATGGGATTGCAAATGGCAATGTACGTCAGATCTCATATGCAAAATTAATCGTTATTCGAATCAAAACGATTATGATAGTAAATGATTCTTCAAAAATATTAGAAATGCGCTAATAATATTATTTAATTATTATATGTTTTAATTATTGGGGAGGGGGTATACAACGAAAAAAGCGTGGAAGGGGTCGGATCACCCTAGGTTACTGAAGAGTCGTCCGACTTCTCAGTTATTGATTCAATATCGATTTCTTATTATTGAGTTATTGGGTTTGCATATTTAAAAAACAATAACCAATAATACACAAGACGAACCGAATCGACCGATGCAGATTCCTAATTTTAATGGTATGTTATTAAAGATATTTTTAGCGGTTTAGGTCAAAATTGAATTGTGTTTAGAATGAGTCCAATCGTAAATACATTGAAATAATTTTTTCCCTAAAAATTTAAAGCTACGACATCATTAAATAAGTATCGAAAAAACGGTATTTTTTAGATAAAATGACAATGAAAGCTAACTAGGCAAAGTTAGAAAACTATGAAATCTAACTAGGAAAAGTTGAATGATTTTTGTAAGATAAAACAAAATTGAGTGATTTTAGTGACTCTAATATTATATATTAAATACGTAATATGGATAATGCACAAGTACCTTCTTAATCTATATTCGAAATATTGAAAACATACTTATACAATACTATTACCTCCATAAACTTATTTTATTAATAATTTTCTAACCCTTTTCGGCCTACGTAACACTATCTTGTGGACCCAATGACGGTTGATTTTTTTTCAAGCTAGTAACACCTATGTCAAAAGAGGTAGAAAATTACTTATAAAATAAGTTCAGGAGGGTAATAGGACCTTAGTAAAGTATAAGTGCGTCTCTGAGATTTTGGACATAGATTGAGAGGCTACTGGTGCATTTGTTCCAGTTATCTTAAAAATTAAACATATTTATATTTAAATCTTAAATCGAACTCTGTATATCTAATATTTTTCTCGTCTTTCTTTTTCTTCTCTCCTCCACATAATTTCATGAAAATAACATCATGCGATCTTAGTTTTTAACGAAGTGCTTGATATTAAATAAATAAAATTCGAATTTACATGAATAATATATATATATTTAATTGCATTATACGTGTAACTTTTAATATGCAAATTTAAATATAATTATTGTGTAAATAATTTCATTATGAATAAATAGTAGATTTTTTTGCATAAAGAAAAGGGGAGGAAAATAATTGAGTAATTGTTTTGATATGTATGTGCACATTTTACAATGCAAATTACTTATCACATAATAAGAACTCTAAAATTTCACTTAAAATATTCGAAATTTAAATACTTAATATATAACAATATTAAGTAAATAAAAGGATGCGTAGACTTTTCAATCATTTTTAGTATTTACACCGAAATTCTTTGAATATGAGATTGAATGTCATAACTATTATTAGTATTTTTTACTTTTTAGTAATATTAGTTAGAAAATTTGTTACTTAAGCAACTTTTACTCATCTCTTTGGTATACCTTCGATACAAACGTATTCAATTGAGCATTTTTCGCTAGTTATAGCTGTCTGACAGTAACAAATCCCAAGATTGTCTCAACCAAAATCTTATTTTCATGTATAAATATACAAAAAAAATATATATATATATATATCAAAGTCATTATTCATAATTTCGAGTTTTTAAAAATTACTACACTCTCAAACATCTTATTATTATTTCTATTCCTATTCCTGCTTTAGCAATTTCGTTTTCACGATGACAATAACTAATTTGAACGCCCCGTCACCGGAGGAGATTGTCGTCCCATCGGCACCAGCATCATCACCGGCACCAACCCCGACACCGGCACCGGTACCAACTCCGGCACCGTCATCGGAAAAAACTCCGGCATGGTCACCGGAACAAACTCCAGCACGGCCACCGGAAAAAACTCCGGCACCGGCACTAACTCCGGGACTGGGACCAACTCCGGCACCGGTATCAACATTGGTTGAACAAAAGAACAATCCAATGAACAAGTCATGCGGACAGATAATCAATTGTAAAGAAGCGAAAAATCAAGTGTTGTTCTCCGTTCCGATGATCGTAGTGAACGGTTGTTTCTACTTCATCAGCCTCGTCTCCGTCATGTTTGCCGGACACCTCGGGAAACTCGAGCTGGCTTCCTCGAATCTCGCTAATTCATGGGCCATGGTTACTGGTTTCTCTTTCATGGTACGTAAAAATACATGACAAATGACAAGTTCTATGCATTGACAGTATACAAAAATAATATGTTCATTAAAAAGTTAGTGATAGTCAAGGTGGATCCACAATGTCAATTTTAAATTTACGTTAACGTAATAACTTTGATCCAAACTCTATATATAATCAGAGCAAATCCAATAATTAGTATTGTAGTATTATAACATATTGAGACATTATGTAACATGTTCAATTGTGTGATTATTTAGTCTAAACATTGAAGTTGTCAGAAAGAGTACTATACTTTTATTTACTTAATTATATCTTTAACTGTGAACTCGTTGATTGATCATCTATATATAGGTCGGGCTAAGTGGTGCACTTGAGACATTATGTGGTCAAGGATACGGCGCGAAAATGTTCAGGATGTTAGGGATACATCTTCAAACATCGAGCATCATATCGTTCTTCTTTTCTATCGTTGTTTCTGTCATTTGGTGGTATTCGGATCGAATTCTGATTTTACTTCATCAAGAACCTGCAATAGCACATGAAGCAGGGGTGTTCTTGAAGTTCCTCATACCGGGATTGTTTGCGTATGCTTTCTTGCAAAACATTGTGAGGTTTCTTCAAGCTCAATCGATCATCTTACCTTTAGCTTGCATCGCGGTTGCAGCTCTAGTTCTCCACATTGGCATTGCTTATGCTCTGGTTCATTGGACACATCTTGGTTTCAAAGGAGCAGCATTAGCTGTTTCGATTTCATTTTGGATCACATTCATCGCGTTGAGTCTATACGTGCTTTTCTCCAAGAAGTTTAGTCATATAAGGCCCGAAGGTCTCTCATCCGAGCCACTTCAACATCTTCTTTCAAACTTGAAGTTGGCTTTGCCCTCTGCTGGCATGGTGTGGTAAGTTTTTGCTATTAAAGTCAAACCTCTCTATAATGACATTGTTTGTCTGAATATATTTTGGTTGTTAAATGTTATTATCACATAATAACATGAAAATTGGTTCCAAAGAAAAACTTAGTCGTTGTAGTGAAATGTTAGTTACATAGTCTCTAATTGATGTGTAACAGCTTGGAGTACTGGGCGTTTGAGATTCTTGTGTTGTTAGCTGGTTTGATGCCAAACGCGGAAACAACTACTTCTGTTGTTGCAATGTGGTAAGTTTTCAACGCGATTTTGAAACACAAGCAGATTTTTCGTATTTCTTGAAAGTCGAATTTTAGTTGCTGATCTAGTTTTTGTGTGTTACAGTGTAAATACAGAAACCATAGCCTACATGATATCTTATGGCCTCAGTGCAGCTGCAAGGTAATTTCACGCACAAAAATGTTTCCTTTAAAATGTATCTCGTGTTAAATTGTGTGACGATCTCATTTAAATGTTTAAATCATTAGAGATATCGCGACTTCATTTACTTAATTTGGTTGAACACGCCTCTTAATGTGTGTGCCTGATTCTGTTTCCTATGCTAAGGTCTGCACGGAACACTATGTTGACTTGTGTGACCATGTCATCTGTGATTAGACGTATAACTCGTATTAACTTAATTATGTTCTCAACGTGCAGCACGAGGGTGTCAAACGAGATAGGAGCAGGAAATATCCGCAAAGCTAAACAAGCTATGGCTGTTACTCTCAAACTAGCTATTGTTGCTGCACTCATAGTTGATTTAGCCCTAGGTTTTGGTCACAATGCCTGGGCTGGCCTCTTCAGTGAGGAAGCGGAGATTATTCGTAAATTTGCCTCAATGACACCTCTCCTATTAGTCTCTTTCTTGTTCGATTTCATACAAGGAATTCTATCAGGTTAATCAACTTACTTTGCGTATATATATATATATATATGTATATCTGTGTGTGTTCGCGACATTTACATCTTAGTTTTAACATGTTGATCAGTAGGATCGAACAAGCTAAAACGTTTAACTTGTAAATGAATGTTGATCATCAGGAGTGGCAAGAGGATGTGGATGGCAACGTTTCGCAATGTGCATCAACTTGGCAAGTTTCTATTTCGTTGGTATGACAATAGGCGCAATCTTGGCTTTCAAGTTCAATAAAGGATATAAGGTAATCCACGTTCAATATGTTTTGTATAAAAGTTTAACTTTTATATACTGACAGAGTATCGTTTTTGTGAATAATGCAGGGTTTATGGGTAGGGTTGATTTGTGGTCTAGCATGCCAATCTACTAGCTTGTTGCTATTGACATTCTTTATAAAATGGGGAAAAGAAGATCAAGTCTCAAAGCATACCAACAATGAAAATGAATCCCAACCTTAAATTAAGCATAGAGGTTATCATGTAATTTACTTGCATTGATCATTGATAATTAATTAATTCATTTGATTTGTAATGTTGAGAAAAATTTTGACGTATCGACGTAGTTTTTGAATAAATTGTGTATGTAGACATTATTTTATTTGCGCTTATGAAGGTCTAAATCTAAATCTATAGATTACGGTCCTTAAGCGTGTTTCTTTTGTTGTGTTTGAATTTTAATGAACGACTTTTTGTCAAGATAACTTTTCAAAAAAATAATTTTGTAGAGAAGATTTTGAGAAGCGATTTATTTAGTACCAGTCTTTCTAAATAAGTGTGGAAATTAATCACATTGTCACTTGCTAATAGGCAAAATACACTACACTTTAAATTTATCGAGACATTTTATTTAGATACTTAAACTAAGCTTACTAGCTATCGAACACATAATCTATGCTCAAATTGTACCAATTAGACACAACTTAACAACGTGACAGAATATTTAATAATTTTTTTTAATAATAGATTAAAAAAAAGTTAACGTGAATAAGTATAAGAAAAGAAACTAGTCTTATTTTACTAATTCAAATGAAATAAAGAATTTTTATTAACTACCAACATAAAGAAAATAAAAATTAGAGAAAGATAGATATTCTATGATCATTAAAGAATTTATAATGTACTTTATGATAATATTATAAAAAAAATTTAATAATGTAAAAATAGAAAAATCAAAAAGAAATTGAGGTATGACTTTTTATTAGTTTTAATTGTCATACTTTTTTTTAATCTTTTAAAAAAAAAAAGAATTTTAGCAATTTTTTAAAACTCTACTTTATTACTTATATATACTCAAAATTTTAAACAATAAAACTAAAAGACATTTTAATATATTTGACATGAAATTTCAAATTTTCTTTTAAAACTTTATAAAATTCTACATCAAATTAAATTAAAATATATATTTTTGAATGGATCAGAGTACTTCATTTTAGTCAATAACATAGAAAGTGGTGCATCATTTAATTTGACAAGTTGGGAGTTGCATCACATAAATAACCAAATAAATAATAAGAAGTTAAAGGAAAAGAGTCTGATATACCCCTTAACTTTGTCATTTAGAGTTGATATACCCCTTGTTATGAAAGTGGCTCATATATACCCCTACTTGTAAGCAAATGACTCACATATACTCTTTTCCTCTGACGGAAATGAAAAAAATAATTTTAATCTAAATTTTTATTATTTTTTTCTAAAAAATATAATCTCATATGAGTAAATTTAATCCTCGTCAAACATATTTTTTGACCTTTTTTTGTTTCAATGACTAATTTATAATTATTATTTTGATAATCAAATTTATTTATGTTTCACTAATATTCTTGTAAAACTTATTGTAGATGACCAAAATTTTTTCTTCGAATACGAAATTAAATTACAATACACACAAAAAAATAGTTTAATTTTTTTTCTTTAAAGTAAGGAATGAAAGAAAAAAATAAAATAAGAATAAGAAACTCAAATAATTATAATAAAAAAAGTCAAAAAATAATTTATGTATGAAAAAAATTAAAATATACCTTAAACTTTGATAGAAGAATCATATATACCCCTAATAATTTTTTTAAAAAAATTACAAGTAATAAATATAAATTTAAAACTAATTTTTTAACTTCCGTTAAATGAAGGGTATATATGAGTCATTTTGTAACGGGGGTATATGTGAGCCGTTTGTATAACGGTAAGGGCATATATGAGCCACTTTTATAACGATGGGTATATCAGCTACAAATGACAAAGTTGAGGGGTATATCAGACCCTTTTCCCAAGAAGTTATTATATAAAAAGTGGAGTCAGAATTTTATTTTTATCTTTTATGTTTTAACATCTAGAAGTAATTAATTCTTAAAAGATTGTCAATATTCGTTTCATTAATTTTATTTGTTATATATTAATTTGATTAATTTTTAAAATTAAATTTAATTACATTAATTTGATATTTTAAAATATAAATTTAAATATTAAAAAACTCTATAAAAATATTATAAATTACAATTTTGAATATTAATATGATAAAATAAATACATCTTAAAATATTGATTAAAATTCTTATGATTTATCTCTAAAAATAAAAACTATAATGAATAAGAATGGATTAAAATAGTAAATTATTAAATTTTGATTTGACACGTTTAGTAGAGAAACAATAATTACCATAGCAATTTATCATGTTGTTTTTATTAATTAATGAGGAAATATTTTACAAGTAAATAAGAATCGAGACAGAATAGTGAATAGAAGATGATTTTTCTTCTTTAGATTTTTTACGTGTAAAAATGAAAATCTCAATCAGGTAACCAAAAATCTATTACTAACTCCTACACATTCACCATTTCATAAAGAATAATCTAGTTTGATTTGACACGAAGTTTAAAAAAAATAAAGAAAATTTTTGATAATGTGATCCTAAATAAAAGTTATTTCAAAATATACAAAAAATTGTTATTTAATTTTGTGGTTTTAAACCTATCATATGTAAAAAGAAAGAGGTTATTCTTTTTTGAAAACCGACTAAAATAAAATAAAAATTTTTTTTTTTTTTAAAGGAGAAAATATAATGAATATCTCTAACCAAATTCCATGGTAGCTTGTTTCCCAATCAAAAATACCAGTAGACTTTCAAAGCAGAGCCCAAAAATCAGAAAAAATGGCTTCATCCGGTCCGAAAATTCCCCTGTTAGCGTCTTCATCATCATCATCAGGCATTTCATCGAACAGTTTGTGTGCAAAGTTGATCGACGTAGAAGAAGCTAAGAATCAGATTTTATTTTCATTGCCAATGATTGTAGTGAACAGTTGTTTCTACTTCATCAACCTTGTTTCCGTCATGTTCGCCGGACACCTCGGGAAACTCGAGCTTGCTGCTTCAAATCTCGCTAATTCATGGGCTATGGTTACTGGTTTCAGTTTCATGGTATGTAAAAACTGATTGCTCTGTTTTAGATTTACAACTTTAAAAGTTTTACGTATTGACGATGAAAAAAATATTTATATAATCGAATCACTTAAAAAAGGTTAATTTATAGTTATCATAGTGTGAAAATTTCATTATACTTTTATTAGTATGTATAAGCGTAACGATCAAAAACATATATAAATGATTATGTGCGAGAATTTTCCTACATTAAATATTACTAACTAATTTATCGAACATACTTCAACTATCAATTGTTCTCTTTTCCTACCTGAAATATCACTATCTTTTCAGGTAGGACAAAGGAACGATGGATTGTTGAGGTGTTCGAAACTCCTTGTCAGTGAAAGCAAGGGGTTTGCCTTCTGGGTCGAGCGTGTCGCACCTGGCTTGTCTAGTGCGCGTTACCTCTCCTATGCGATTTGCGAGCCATTGTATAGGAACGGAGATTTTACCCTGTGCCCACCCAAAGGATAGAGGTTTCCCTTGCATAAAAAGAAAATTTAGGTATATGAAACTCAAAAAATGGGAACACTTTAGATGTGTTTTTGACCATTAACATCCGAACAGAACTAGGGGGATCGAGGACTTGAAGTTTATGAGTTTCTAACGAAATCTCGAGTAAACATATAATAACTGGATTTACAATCAAATATTTGTAAATGTTTAATGAAATAAGTTATTAGGTTCCATTTATCCAAGCTAAGAATCCAACTTTTACATGATGCCCTGTGCTTCCAATGTTACTGAAGCAAGTCTTAAAAACTTGTTAGTGAACAATCTATAGGTTGGTCTAAGTGGTGCACTTGAGACATTATGCGGCCAAGGATACGGAGCAAAAATGTACAGAATGTTGGGTATACATTTGCAGGCATCGTGCATCATATCGTTCTTCTTTTCCGTGGTGATTTCTGTCATTTGGTGGTATTCTGATATGATTCTGATTTTACTTCATCAAGATCCTGACATAGCTAGAGAAGCCGGCATATTCTTGAGGTTCCTCATTCCTGGATTGTTTGCATATAGTTTTCTGCAAAACATTTTGAGGTTTCTTCAGTCACAGTCAATCATCATGCCTCTGGCTTTCTGTTCTGTTGGATCTTTAGTTATCCACATTGGGATTTCCTATGCCTTGGTTCATTGGACAGGTCTTGCTTTTAAAGGAGCATCATTAGCGGCTTCTATTTCGATCTGGATCGCACTTCTCACGTTGGGCCTATACGTGCTCCTTTCGAAGAGATTCAACCATATCTGGAGAGATGGTCTCTCGTTCGAGTCATTTCATCATATCCTTACAAATTTGAAGTTGGCTTTGCCCTCTGCTGCCATGGTATGGTAAGAATTAACTGTAAAAATTTTGTTATTCAAGAAGAGTTAACTTATATATTCATATTCTTTTTACACAGAGGTAATTACAGGCAACTAATCATAACGAGTAAAATTAGTTACTTGTAAAATAAGATTAGTAACCTTCTATAGCATGTTAAATCACATTGCTAATATAAATTTTTGTCATAATATATTCACAAACTCTCGAACTTGACCTCAGCTAGCGAGTGAAGATTCTAACTTTGAGTATGCACATCTACACACTTCATCTCGTCTCCTTTCTGTTAATTAAATACTCAAACTTACAAAATGATCATCTAAACACATCAAAAACTTGTGTTTCGCGTCAGCATTAGGTTCCACAAGAAAGTACACAGCGAGGACAAGGTGGAACGTCTAGTTGCAGTTGAGGTGTCTAATTGTGCGCTCTCAAAGCTAAAGTGCTTACTTGCCAACTGAGGCCAAGTTTGAGTGTCTGTTTATTTATTTTGCCTAAAATTTTCATTAGAATGTCAGTGAATATAAGTTAAATCCTCACAGAATGGAACATGTTGTCATCGAAGTCGTACTAATAATTTCCTTATTTGATGTATACCAGCTTGGAGTACTGGGCTTTTGAGCTTCTTGTGTTATTGGCTGGTTTGATGCCAAACTCAGGAACAACTACTTCTGTGGTAGCTATGTGGTAAGCTTCTGTCCTTTTTATATAACAAATTTTCATGATTTTGAAGACTGAGTTTTAGTTTCTGACACCAATTTGTTTTGGTTTATGACCTTTCAGTGTAAATACACAAAACATAGCCTACATGATATCTTATGGTCTGAGTGCAGCTGCAAGGTAATGTTACCAACAAAAAATTGTTATAGTTTTGACCCCCTTCTCCCCATCAGTTTTGTTACTAATACCAAATACGAATGCGAAAAAATGTTGTTGGTAGTTGGTTCGAGTTATGCAGGTAATAGTAATATATGGGTTAGTTATGAGTGGATCCATGTATAATACATGTATTAGTTATGAAGGTTTAGATATTCCACGTTTTATTTTGCACAAAATAATTCATAGATTCGCTCATAACTTATATAACTTATACATGTATTAGTTATGTAAGTTCCTAAATTGCAAAAAAAAAAAAACATATGCCTTAATTTTATACGTGAATAACTTACCTCCTAACGGGCCACCAAACGTGGTATTACTTATGTAGGATTTAATATATGCATAACGCACCTACAACCAGCTACCAAATGACCGTGTAGTGTTGATATGTGTGACAATCACATCTAAATGTTTAAATTGTTAGAGTGATCATACGTTTATTTATTTGATTATGCTTCAACTCGCCCCTTAACATGCGGATGGTTCTTTTTTACGGATGACTAAGGCTCAAACACGAGAACTCTTTCTGATAACGAATTACGGTGAATTTGAACTTCGGACCTGCTTGCTCTGGTACTATGTAGAATTATGTAACCAGATTTAGAGAGAGTAAACGTACTTGTATTTACTTAATTATGTTTCAACGTGCAGCACTAGGGTGGCAAACGAGTTAGGAGCTGGAAATCCTGATAAAGCTAAGCATGCTATGTTTGTTACTCTCAAGCTATCTGTTCTTCTTGCCATTGCAGTTGATTTGGCTCTATTTTTAGGTCATGATGTCTGGGCTAGCCTATTCAGTGATAGCGCGGAGATAGTTAACAAATTTGCCTCCATGACACCTCTCCTCTTGATCTCCTTTGTGTTCGATTTCATTCAAGGAATCCTCTCAGGTTAAAATTTTACATAGCTGCAATGCACTATGCGCCATGACTTCTGCACTCCTGTTATTTATTTATTTTTCCGACATGCTTTCATTTTTTCCCCCTTGAGCCAAGAGTCTATCAGATATCAGAAACAATCTCTTTACCTCCCAAGGTAGAGAGGTAAGGTCTGCATTGCTCAAACCTTACTAGTGAGACTACACTAAATATGTTGTTATTGTTGTTGCAATGCATTACACTTGTGTGTGCTCGTGTAAGTCATTTTTTTTTAGATTTATACATTCAGTAGAACGAGCTATAACGGAACTTGTAAATGAATTGATCAGGGGTTACTAGGGGTTGTGGATGGCAACATTTGGCTATGTGCATCAACTTGGCGACATTTTATTTCATCGGCATGCCAATAGCCGGCCTCCTTGCTTTCATGTTCAACCTACATTCTCAGGTAATTCAAGTGCACCGCGCACGCCATACTTCCAGTATAACTTCTATACACTGACAAAGTAAAAGAGTTTTAACTACATGTAACTGTTCATAATGATTGAAATTTAGTAACCTGGAAAATAAGGTAGATAACTCGCTATAACAAATTAAAGTTACAGCGATATATTATTTATTTTCGAAAATTATGTGATGCAGGGTTTATGGTTGGGCTTGATTTGTGGTCTAGCCTTCCAATCTTCTGGCTTGTTGCTACTTACATTGATGACCAGATGGGGAGAAGTACAAGTCTCAACCAATAGCAATAGAGAAAATGTACTCCTAGCTTAACCATGAGTTTAAAAGAATTACTTTTGGCTTTTATTTATATACGATGATTGATTGGTTGATTAATTAGTTTAAACAAAAAAAATATGTGATATATCCTAACATAATTTAAAATGAGTGATAGATTCAACATAACATTGTGTGTTTTACCCTTCATATAGAAAATTATTATATTATCGCAATATTGTAGTAAAAGGAATCATTGATAATTGGCTTACTCAATTTTTAGGTGTGTTTTAGTACACGGTGTGTATCAAATCGAGTTATAAATTCTATGCATTGAAATTTGGAAGTGTGGGGTGGTGAGGATGAGATGGGTTAAAAGATGAAAGGATACAATCAATGTAGAGCACAACGTTTCTCCTACTTAAGTCATTTTCGTCATTGCTAAAAACTTATTTTCCTATAGATAATATTTTCCATAAAATTTAACCAAGCAAACCTGGTAAAATTGGGTACATCCTAAGTTCACATAACATTAAGTTTCTTGGTGAACTTGATGGCTGAAAACCTGATTTCATAACGATAAGAGTAATCTGTAATCCTATGAAGAACAGTAAAGAATATAAGCAGAAAAAAGGTTCTGTAAAAGAGAGAGTTCAAAATTTCCACAGAAGAAACAGCTAATTCAACAGAGAAAACAGTATACGTCAATCCAGGCATAACGAAGCAAAAACATAGCCAATGATTAAAGAAAAGTCTGTGTACATGACCAAATTTTGGATTCAAACAGACAGTGACAATCCATAAGGCTCAATTGTGCGCTCACACTTTATTTTATTTCTTCCCTCGAAGTTTCGCTCCAAGAGCTCTCTCCAGTTTTGAGATTATTTGTTGGTTTGGAATTGCCTTTCCTGATTCGTATTCTTGGATGATCTGTGGCTTCTCATTTATCAACTGCAAATAACAAAGGAGCTTATCAGATTTATTTTGCGACAAATTAACAATCCCCTGTGCATGAGTCTATTTCAAAATTTTTTTCCCTTTTGGGAAGTCCAAAGTGAGTAAAGAGGTATTTACTTGAGCAAGTTGAGACTGAGTCAGCTTTTTGTCTTGTCGTGCTTGCATGATAGCTTTCTTCAGTTCAGTTGGTACCTTTTCATCTGAAAAAATAAATCAAAGTGACGTCAGACGCTTTCAAAGGAGAATGATATCGTGGAATACACTATGGACAAAATAACATTAGAACGAAGGCAGAACTGCTCAAACATCCCAGGTACTAAAATATCAAGACACTGATTAGGGGAAACAAAAGATAGAAAGAATAGATTAAAGATCTAAGGAATTGACCGAGTCTAAATCGGGTGAGGTAAATGTATGTTTGGGTTGTGTTAGGATGAAGCCCCATTATTTGTATATGTGGCAAGTAAAAGATACACGGCAAATTGTAGTTGGGTAGCTAATACAACGTTGGAAAAAAGAACAGGGGAACAAACTATAAAGACACTATCGAATACTATGCCTAGGAGAAACTTCATAGAGATGACTAGTGAATTAGTTTTCCTTTTAAAATGTATAGATTGTGAATTCTTTTTGTTTCGAAAGTGTAATGGATGTATAGAGAGAGGGCAACACAAAAGGATGTAGAAGAAGTACACAATGTGTTTTGGGAAATGTATGTTCCTCAACTATTTCAAATTGAAGATATTGCATGTCCATCCAGTTTATAGAGTAGGCAGAATATTTAGTAAATACTATGACTTTTACTCGCATACACAGAGAGATTAAGCATCATAGTTCTCCACCAGAAGTTTTCTTAATTATGCAATAAAAGGTGTAGCTCAAAACTTACGAGACAAGTTCTCGGTGTCTTCATCAAGTTTCCTAGTGTTCAATGATGTACTACTAGAGGCAGCCCTGTTTGAGCCCGCATTAGCTGCATTAGAAAAAAAAGGCATCAAGAGAACAGCTTATCACCTCAAGAGAATTCCAAGAGACTACAAAAGCAATAACATGCGACTTGGGAACAGGAACAGGAACAGGGAACAAAGCATCTGAATGTTAAAAGTGATAGCTGAACTTGAAGAGAAAAAAAACTACACCAGCAAGAGAACACTCCAATTGTGTTCACACCTAAATGAGCATATGTTTACAGAAGGTTCCACACTAACAATGTAAGTTTTTAACCTTCAGTAATTAACCAACATCAAAAAATACAGAAAAGTAGGTAAGATAGACCAAAGAGTAAATAAGTGCATTCTGTTACCACAACTTTATCGATCAGAAACAACAAGAACTGCTGAAGTGAGAAGGTCATTGATTCCAAGAGAGTGACCCCAGTTAACAAATTTCAAAGTTCAAGTTAACCAATTATCCAACCTCAGTAGTTCAGTTATATTTTGGAAGGAATTTAAGATACTACCATTTTCTAATTTCTCATGATTTCAGTTAGTAAACATTGGTAATACAATAAATCTGAATATAGAAATTACTCTACCAGCACACCAGGATCATGATACAAGAGCAATCAACACACACATAAGGTAAAATTGCATGTTGATATTGCAAAGGTAGTATGAAAGACTGATAAAAAATCGATCATATTAGGCATAACATGCACATACAGCAGAGCAATAATTCAAAACTACAGCCATGACTAGCATAAATTAAACATATTTATTAAATAGATTTAGGTCCATTAGCAATTGTAAGCATATACAACAAATTGATCATTGATAAATTGACATATGTGCAAATTATCTGATAATCTAACAGAAAAAGGATATATCCCAGCGAAGATAGAAGTAGCATTCAGAGTGCACTGAATTTATAGGTAGACAAATTGAAGTAACAAATCACAAGAAATAGCTACACACAGATTGACAATAACTACAATTACGCCTATTTGAAGTTGGCTATATGAATCTCCATGTCTATTATGTTATATACATACTATAAAAGCAAATATGAGCTAGAGATGAAAACAAGTAATTGAGCAAACGACAAAACAGACTAATGACTACAGCTATGTCTCAATCCCAGACTTGCTGAGGTAGCTAAAATTCTCCGTATTTCATCTGTTAAATACAGAATTATAATAAATACAGTAATAAAAAGAGATAGAGTTGATAAGGTGTACATCAGGCTAACAACAACTATAACCACACGTCTACACCACAATCTCAAAGTAGTTGAGGTGAAGAATTCTCAAATTTCTCCATATCAATTTCCTGAATATACAACAAAAAGAGTGAGCAAGATAGAGAGAAACAAGCAACACAGGTGGAGCCTGGGATGACAAAATGGTTCTTCAATAGTAAAAACTGAGTTCAGAATCCTAGTCTGTTTTGTCGTTTGCTCAATTACTTGTTTTCATCTCTAGCTCATATTTGCTTTTATAGTATGTATATAACATAATAGACATGGAGATTCATATAGCCAACTTCAAATAGGCGTAATTGTAGTTATTGTCAATCTGTGTGTAGCTATTTCTTGTGATTTGTTACTTCAATTTGTCTACCTATAAATTCAGTGCACTCTGAATGCTACTTCTATCTTCGCTGGGATATATCCTTTTTCTGTTAGATTATCAGATAATTTGCACATATGTCAATTTATCAATGATCAATTTGTTGTATATGCTTACAATTGCTAATGGACCTAAATCTATTTAATAAATATGTTTAATTTATGCTAGTCATGGCTGTAGTTTTGAATTATTGCTCTGCTGTTTCAGAATCCTATATCTACACAAGATGGTACAAATGATAAGAAGAACACAGGCAAACAACAACTACCACAATCTCAAACTAGTTTAGGTGAATACTCCAGATTAATTCCCTAGATTCCACAAAAAAAGAGAGGAGAGAGAGAGAGAGAGAGAAACAAGCAATACAAGTGGAAACCTGGGATGACGAAAATGATAGTAAAAACTGAGTTCAGAATCCTACTTCACAAAAACAGCTCAACAAAAACATTTTACAAAAAAGTTCTACACAAGATAGTATAGATGCTAAGATGAACACAGGCTAACAACAACTACCAATACACCACAATCTCAAACTAGTTTAGGTGGATACTCCAGATTAATTCCCTAGATTCCACCAAAAAAACAGAGAGAGATAGAAAAAAGCAATACAAATGGAGCTAGGGATGATAGAAGCACTTTTTTCGTTTGCAAAACTGAGTTCAGAATCCTGTTACACAAAACAGCTCAAGCATTTTTTACAAAAGTTCTATATGAGATATTAAGCTGAAGACAGTATAACTACTACTACTAGTACTACTGCACAATCTCAAGCTAGTTGAGGTAAATTCTCCATATCAATTCCCTCAATACCATCAAAAAACGTACAGAGAGAAACAAGCAATTCAAATGGAACCAGGATGATAATAGCAATTTTTCAATTGAAATAACTTAACTCAGATTCCTATTCTACAAAAACATCTCAACAAACACTTTCTACAAATATGAGATAGTACGGAGAGGAAATCTCGACCGATCGAGAGATGACAAAACTGAGTTCAGAAATTTTATTTCACAAAAACAGCTCAACAAACAATTTATCACATAGATTTCTACACTAGATGATACATAGATAAAGCGTGTTCATAGATAGATAGAGATAGAGAAAAAGGTAGGATAAGATACACTTCTTGACGGTTTCGATCTCGGCGCCGGAGCGACGGGCGGCGTTAACGGCCTTCTCATCCTTGCGAGCGGCGGAGGTAGGCGCCTTCTTCCTGATAACTACCGGCTCCCAGTCTTGCGATATTCCACTCATCGTTTTTTCTTCTTCTCTGAAATATCTCTACTGTTTGAAGAAATGCGTTTGTCTCGTAGTTTATATATATATAGGGAGAAAGGGCCTTTTGGGGATTTTCCATTTCAAGGTTTTCCTTGTCACTATCCTTAACCTTTTATGTTGCTCGAATATCTAAAAATGTAATAGATTGTGTGTCCGTTCCTTCAAAACTAACGCATATTTAATATAAATTGATAAAAATATTGGAGAATTAGAATCACTTAGCAATTGAATATGAATTAAAATTCAAATAACATTTTACTTTATTGAGATGAAGGTTTTTGAAGTAGTGAATGGCAATGTTCGTCATCATGGTTGGTAGAGGGGGTTGGCAATGATGGTTGTGATAATGTGTGATTAGTGATGGTGGCTAGTAGAGGTGATTGATGCACAACGACGCAATTATCAGTGGTTCGCACAGCGAGGAAAACCTCATCCTTTCTCTTTCCTTTTCTCTCCTCCATGTCACCAAACCGGGGAACACAGGGACATAGAAAAGGGGATCGTTCATAAATCTCATAAAAAGTACCTAAAGATTCATAGTGAACTTCGATTGGACTTTCTCTTGAAGCAATAACGCGTTGAAGCCACAAAGGTCTATCTAAATTGATACGGGTAAAAACTAACTGGTGGCAGGAGATTCACACATATTTTGTGAAATTAATCGAGAAACGTACAAGCCTCAACCATCATAGTTGTAAATAAAACATGGGGCGAAAAGATAATAACTAAAGCATAGGCCTCCCAAGTATAAAAACTTTCTCAACAGCACAGCCACTGATGAGTGCATCTTCTCAATTTCATACATACAATACAGACAAATCACTAAGGTATCATCAGTTTTAAAGTTATGTCTTCTCATACAAACTAATTTCACCTATATCACTAACTTATAGATTTTCCCTCAATCATATACTAATCATTATAATGAAGGAGATGATCTCCTGGAACGGGAGCTCTCGAAAGCATGAGCTGTTTCACGTTGCATTCTCAAACTTCTTGAATAATAAGTCCATCAACATTCAACTCTCCTCGCTGACGATTGTTATCTCTTTTGAAACATCATTGTTTTCTTCATTTGCAACAATGATATCATCTGGCAATGGTTCCTGGATGACAGACAGTATCCATATTTTAGATCAAAAGTAATGACATCGAATATATGAATTTGTTACAAGTCTAAGAAAGTAAGAGGGAACTAGTAGTTAAATGACGATAAAACTGGGACACTGGGAAATTGCAAGAACCCGGGAAGTGACAACTCAATGCTGAGTAGCACTTTTCTCTTTGGCAGTGGATATAGAAAAGACAAGTTAACTACGTGAAATATGCTTCAGAATTATGTGTAATCCTTTATAAATTTTTCCATCTTACCCGTTGTGTAAACAGTGATTCCAATTCCTTTTGGTAGAATGGGTAAAAGCAGGTGATGTGTGATTTATAACCATGTGAAAGTTTTACATCTTAATTTATTTTGTTTGATCACTTTTAGAATGAGATTATAGATGGGAGCATTGAGTGGGATGCAACACATCACCGACGAGAGAACATTGAGAGACTGCAAAAAGGCGGATGAATTGCTGACTACTTTAAGTCAGATTCAGTGGTTTTAAACTTTAGAGGCCTATCCTTAATAGACAACTAACCTGGTCCGAAAAGCAACACTCTTTCTAACATATGTACTCACGGTCCACCTAGCTCCAAATTCTGTCTATGATAAAACTCCATTTTTTTGATGAGCTATCTATCTATCATCCAACAGCTTTTTGAAGATTAATTCGGATGGTAGCTGCAAGGATGGATACTGTGGAGGCGAGGAAGTGATAAGGGATCAGTCGGGCTCACTAAGTTTCACCTACTATTTGAACCTCGGCCAAGGAACTAGCAACTCGGCAGAGGCAAAAGCTATGTTGTATGGAGTTCAATGGTGCATCAGTAATAAATATGAATTCATTTTAGCAGAGAGCGACTCCAGGTTGCTGGTAAATTGTGTGAATGACTTAATCATCACCCCTTGGAGAATACATGATGAAGGAAAGGAGCTGAAGGATCACATGGAAAATACTGGATTCATCCTTAATCACTACAGAGAGGCGAATAAGGTGGCTGATGCACCAGCATCCATGAGCTCCTCGAATCCTGGAAACACACTTTATGAAGATTTTGTAGACCTACCTGCTGGAGTGAAGGGACTCATGACCATGGACAGATGCGGAGACCAATTTACTAACCAAACAAAAGACGAAGCAGGATTTAATATGGGATCCTCCATAAGGACCTTGCGAAGACTAGTCAATTATATCTTTTTGCACACAGGCTCTTTACTTAGAAAGCCAATTGACAAATGCTATCTTTTGTATTTACTTCATCTCATATAGGATCTTGTATCCTTCATATCTAGTTGGGAGGAGTAATTCACTCATTGTAACCTCCCTCAGATCATCATGTACCTTTTTAATGGAAGATCAATACCATACAATTTCTATAAAATAAATAAAAAAACGGCCTTATCCTGTGTGGACTGCTAACTACGTTTGGAGGAACAACCCTCTTTCTCTCAGCCATGCTTAGCGGTCACCTACCTCCAAAATTTTGTCTAGGATTGTCTCATTTTTGTGATGAGCTATCTCTAACTTACATTTAGAAACTTCCTTTTTTATTAGTTAAGTATATGTTTATCAACTATTAAAAGATGGATATATGTTGAGTTGCTGGAAGAGATACAAGAAAAGTGATAGTTAACAAATTATTCATCTAAGAAACACAAAGAAGGCAACAAACCAGAAACAGATCTTAACAGAACAAACTTTCAATGAAGAATGCTAGACCAAAAGCCTTACCAGACAATTGGATGCACCATCTGCGTTCTTTTTTGCTGTTTCGGGTATATCATTGCTAACATCTTCATTTGCATTGGTTTCACTTGTGGACTAGTGCAAAAGATAGAGTACAGGTCAGCTACCACTGACATTATTTCATTCAATATGGTCTAATATAAGGTATCTGACCAAACATATAGAAGCTGAATAGATCTAACCTCTAACGTTGTGGAGAAACCACCATTTTCTGGCTGGTTTTCATCACCGGAAGACCTGTTTTGCTGAGATAACTCACTACTGCCAATATTTACAGTATCTCTGGTATTGCTTTGACCACTCAAACTGTTCTTACCACCATCACCCTCATTCCCCTGCAATATTTTTCAAAATGTTTACAGATTCAATTACATTTATCCATACAAGACCTACTGTAACTACAGCAACAACAATCATGCCCTAATCCCAATTGGTGATGACTATGTCCAATTAAAACCCGATGGAATATCAGTAATTAACCTGAGCCTTAAAATTTCTCAGAAGATTCACCAAGCTTACAGCCTGCAGATAAAACAATGATAGAAGCCTATATGCACCATCCAAGATAAAACAATGGATACAAGCCTGATGTGCCTGCCTTTTGTTTGTGTTGACTACAACAATTGAATGCAGAACAAGTGCTCCACTAACCTACTACCTCTTCCTCCTTTTCTTCCCCAGTAACACAGAAGACAATGAAATTCGCCACTATCACGGTTCTCATCACAATACTATCACAACAAAGCATCCTCCCCAAAAATTAACACAAAAAGTTATAATCTTGGCATCCCCTCTTCCACCTCGGTAACATCATCATCATCCTCAGCATTGTCTGAGTACTCAAATATTCAGATACAGCCTTCAGAGCCTGTGGGCCTCGTTAATGACAAAACAGGTCAATTCTTCAGGAGTGGGCAAATGTGTGTGTGATTTGGGGGCATCATTAGATTTTCGGACAACTAACTAGGTCCCAGAAACAACACTCTCTCTCACAACCATAATCATGGGGCAGCTTACTCCACAATCTTGTCTAGAAATTAAAACCAACACCTTTGTCATGATGAGCTATATATCATCTATAGGTCTAACTAATATTTAGAAAAGCCTATCCTGTGTGGAGTTGTAGACGGCCAAAGAGCTTAGAGAACATACCTTCTTTCTCACAAGTCACAATCATACTCGCAGGTAACATACCTTCATAATCTTGCTTAGGATTAATTCCTTTTTGTGACGAGCTATCTTTCATCCACAGATCTAACCTATAATTAGAAAACTTTCTAAGATGTAAATAGTTAACTTCATTTTATAAAATATTAAACACTAGATATATACGAGTTTCTGGAAGAACTGCTCACAATAAAGTGGTAGTTCACAAATTTTTATTTTATATCTTGGAATAAGGCACAAGTACCCCCGAACTATACCTGAAATCCCTGCGACACACATAACCTTAACAAGGGTCCTATTATTCCTAAGCTAATTTAAATTAAATAAATGTCACCCTAAATGATGATGTGGCATAATAACCAAATGAGCATCCTCTGTGTGTATTACACGCGCTTCACTTTTTTTCTGTGTTTATTACATGTGCTTCACTTTTTCTGTGTTTATTACACACGCTTCACAATTTTTAAGCATTAAATCTCTTTTTATTTCCATTAGAACCCCTTTCTCTTTCTCAAAATTCTGAATCCATAGTTAGCCGCCTTGTCACTTGTTCCTCTTTTGTCATTAGTTCAAGAACTTGGTCTTCTTACTTCTTTTCCTCCTCAACTTGAATCATTTTTGTGGTGAGATCTGGTTTTTCAAAGGAAAGTAAAAATGGTGTGAATATGTGTTGGAATGCTAGGGTTTTTACTCTGATTGACGATTAACAATCGGACAATGCCGGCAAAACAGAAAGTTGATCCTCATTCTCAACTCCTGACTCATCATCCACAACCTCAAACGCGTATTCGTTTCCGTTAACATTCAAAGAATCCTACCCAAAAACCCCAATTCCCTTAAAACGCTTCTTCACTAAGCACTGAAGAATAGTTACCACTTACCACAACATAAGCCAGAGAGGACTGAAAGAAGACACACCATGTCTAAGATGAACATGAAAATGGAATTTTTCATTGGAGAAAGGAAGAGACAAAGGAGGGGTAGCAGTGGATCTTCGAGAAAGCTTGATCTCAGAAACACAAACTAAATAAGGTAAGTAACCCAGAAGTAGGTTTTCATCAAACAACTTTTCAACAACCAAAAGTCTTACCGTACAATTGGATACACCCTCTGTGTTCTCCTTTGTTGTTTCAGGAATCACTTTGCTTATATTGGCTTCAATTAGGGAGTTGTTCTAAAGAAAGAATACAAGCTACCACTCACAATCTTATCCAATACTTTATAAGATCAAGAATATAGAAACTGCATAAAACTAACCTCTAATTTTCTGGAGCCACCACCATTTTCTTGTTGGTTTTCATTACTAAAAGACTGTTTTTGTTGAGATAATTCATCACTGCCAATATTTACAGCATCTGTTGTATTGCTTAGACCACTCGTATCATCTTTACCACCAGCATCCTTATTCCCCTGCAATGTTTTATTGAATTTGTCATTCAAATTGACCAAACTTGAAGTCTGAAGTTTGGAGCCTAATAGCTAAAGATAGACCCCAGTCAAATACAATACTATTTCTGTTTATGATTACTGTGTGTGAATACAAACAGTTAGACTTTTCTAGAATAGACAGACTATTCTTTTAGTCTCTTCATTTTATGAAATATATTGTGGTTTTATCTCATGTACTTCCTAGAGCTTTCCCTTATTCTCTCTCGATTTCCTGTTCGATTCTTGGTATTTGCATATTTTAAAAAGTTACAATTTATGAAACAACAATACTTGTACAACCAGTATTTTGCTTTGCTTGCAAAATCAATGCAAACTAGAATGGTTGAACTTATGCCTTCATGATTTAACAACTGAAACTTGACCACACTGATATAAACTTATACTTTTTAATGTAAAAGGGAACAACAAAAAAATGTATCACAATTCTGTTTCCTTGTTCTCACTTCCCTTCCCAACTCTCCCCTCTGCCAAAAAGAACCACCAATGAAATGCTCTTCCTGATTATGAGTAATTTTGTGACCATTGGAGTCCTTTTCTTATTGGTAATAATTTTTATTTTATTTTTATGACAGGGAAAACCACAGTTGCTACCCTTTCGGTGCCCATTGGGTAACAACTCTGCTCCTATGCAATAGCCCGTAAACCGCACATGAGAGGTAACCCTTATTGGTAATAGTTAAAAGATAAATTCTTCTTCTAATAGTAGATTGCGTTGAGTTTTTCACAAATTGAATCTTTGCCAGTTTTTGTGCTTCTAATTTAGAGCTTGTTAAATCCTCAGTATCCTTAAGGACAGTCTTTTGACACGCCTCAAGCTATGAGAATTCCCTATATAAGTGTGCCTCAAGCTACGAGAATTCCCTATATGAGAGTTCATGATGAAGTATTTTTCGTGAAATTTTCAATATACTCGACGGACATAACAAGCAATCAAACAGTTCAAACTAACTAGGTTGCCAATATGAATTCTCCATCTGTTCCACTCTTTCGGGACACATTTCATACTAATCTCTTTAATACATAACACAAAATTAACAACAACGACAATGCCTTGATAAATCCAATTGAATAACAGTAAATTACCTGAGCCTCCACCGGTTTATCAGAAGATTCACTAGGCTTACCACCAGCGGACAAAACAATGGATGGAAGCCTATTAATATCCCATCCAAGAATTCGACAAATGACCTGACCATAAGCCCTATGTGTCTGCCTCTTGTTCGATATAGTAATCGAATGCTGAACAAGACCCACACAATCCTTAAACCTCTTCCTCCACCCTTTCTTACCAACCCCACTACACACAAGACAAATAAATCCCCCACCATTTTCACTATTCTTCTCATAATACTCTCTCAATCCATCATTCTCCTCAAACAACTTCGCGAAAAAGTTCAAATTTTTCTCCCCCTTGTCCACTTCCATATCATCCTCATCTTCATCTTCATACATATCCTCCTCCTCATCATCAATTGAGTACTTCAAATACTCCGATACCGCCTTCAATGCCTGTTGCTGAGCCCGGTTCCCAGCAACACTAGCCAATTCTTCAGCAGTGGGCAAATGGGGTCGCGATTTTGGTTGTGCAGTGAAACTGGGCCAGCCGGATTCAGTGACCGGATTCGATTCAGCAGGAGATGGACACACCCATTCAACACCAGAATCTACTATAGCTTCCTTCAGCCTTTTGGATTTCTGCTTATTTCTTTTCTTGAACTGAGTAGAACCGGAGGGTTGTAGACTCACTGGGGTTTGGGGGTGCAGATTAGGGTGGACATGGGGGTGGGGCTGGGGGGGACCTTGATGCCATAAAGAATGGAGGTAGTGAACTTCTTCTATCAATCTCTGCTCATCGTAAGGAATCACCGGAAAACGTGACATTCTTGACTATTTGAGCAGAAGGGCTTTGGTTGCTACTGTTTAAATGCCGGGGAATCGCCGGAAAATGAAAGGCTCAGAGCGATATCTCCGATTCCGGTGAAGAAAAATGGTTTCTTGGCGGCAGAAACCGGGAACTGAGAAAGGGATTTCGGGATGCTCTTTTTTTCAGATTCGATTTGTCAAAAATATTGAATATTCATTCAATTTCAATTTTTATTTATATTTCAACTTTCAACAAAATTTGGGTTAAATTTTATTTAATATTATTTATTGGTTTAATATATTAGTCATCTATAATTAATAATGAAATAGTATATATACATATGGAGCCTAAAGTCAAATTTTAAAATAAACCTAATAAATTTTTTTGTCTTTTTTTAAAAAAGAAAATAAAATATTGTAACACATACTTTATTTATAATTTTTTGCTTTTCACTCATTTGTTTGGAGTCCATATTAGAGCACCAATTAAATCTGAACAGATTCAGATTTAATCGAGGCTATTTAAATAGCGAGTGGAAACCCAAAAAAACAAATCAAGTTTGAACCTAAATTATATTCTTTTCTTTTTTCTTGACGCTCTCTGTTTTGGGCAACCCAAAACTTCTTCTTTTCAGTTTTCAATTTATGCTTTTAAAACCCCATTTCTTCATCGAGATCGGAGAGTTTGCTCATAATCCTTCAATCTTCGATGATTCTCCGACATTTTTATAGTAGCAAACGAAATCCTTTTCCTCAAATAGATAAAAAAGATTGGAGCAAGAGGTTTAAGGATCATGTGGGTCTTGTTCAGTATTCGATTACTATATTGAACACGAGACAGACACTTAAAGCCTATGATCATGAGCTAAGAATGAGGATTACGGACCACAAATTCCATCACTGGAATTTATATTAAATTTGATCCAATGGGTTCAAACTACAATCAATAGAAGTTTAAATCAATGGACGGTAGATCCAATCCATAAGATATATATTGAATTTTAAGGCTTAAAAGTTCATTCTACCGGCCTAAACTATGGCATGTACAAGGTTTCACAACATGTAGATGGGTCCGTAAGAATTGAACCCCGAAATTTGACTTTCTGAGATTCTTTTACGACTTGACAGTACTGCGATAAGTAGAAGGGTTTCGTTGTTCAGTGTTTCAGAAAACTCTATCGTTGTAGTCTCTAGTAGAATGACCAAAACTTTTTACTCTAATCTCGAAATGAGACAAGCTTGATGGCGTTAAAAATAGGACTCATAGATAATTTGATTGGTCATGGACAACCTAATTTCATCATGTGCTGAGAGATATGATCATCTTCTCGGTCATATGATCGAGAAATGCAAATCCAACGTGAGAAAATTGTCATTATTATGTGGGAGGATTATATTAAAGACTAGTTATTTGATTAAATAGTTATTTAAGTGGAAACAAATAGGTTTGTAATAATATATTATGCGATTTTATAATTTTTCTATTTTAATAAGAATTTGTTTCTTTTACTCAAAATCTACAGTATATTTTAGTCAGCTGATGATACTCACAAAGCTCAATCATCAATGGCTGCCTCCTCTTCCATTTTCTTAGTTTATTTCTTGCTACCCTTATTTTCCACAGCAACCCTCCACAGTACTTCTTCTCTTTATAGATCCCAACTCATCACTCAGCAAGAATCTTCACCCAAAAATGCCACCCCCACAACATTTTTTGAAGTCACAAAACCTATAAAATTACCCAAAACCAAACCTTTTTCACACCTAATTCTTGAACATGATTTTGGTTCCACCTACAGAAAACCCCCAATTCTTGCTAACTACACACCCCCTTTTAATTGCCCATCTCAGAAATTTTCCAAAATTGTGCTGGAATGGAGAGCAACTTGTAAAGGTAGACAATTTGATAGAATTTTTGGTGTTTGGGTTAGTGGGGTTGAGATTTTCAGAAGCTGCACTGCTGAACCAACTAAAAATGGGATCTTTTGGACTGTCAAGAAGGACATTACTAGGTATTCTTCTTTGCTTATGAAAAATCAAATCTTTGCTGTTTATTTAGGGAATATTGTTGATAGTACATATACTGGTGTGTACCATGTGGAAATTTTTGTTCACTTTTATCCTGCTAAAGTGAGATTGGGTGGATTTGATTCTGGGGCTGATTTGATTGTTCCCATTTCAAGAAATATGCATTTGAATGATGGGTTGTGGTTTGAGATTGAAAATTCAACAGATGTACAGTCAAAGGATTTCAAGATTCCCCCAAATGTGTATAGGGCTGTATTGGAAGTTTATGTTTCATTTCATGAGAATGATGAGTTTTGGAATGGGAATCCACCTAATGAGTATATAAGTTCGAATAATCTTAGTATCGCGGGGAATGGAGCTTTCAGGGAGGTGGTGGTTAGTTTGGATGAAATGGTAGTTGGTGTAGTTTGGCCTTTTACTGTGATCTATACTGGGGGTGTTAATCCCCTCTTTTGGAGACCGATTAGTGGAATTGGATCGTTCGATCTTCCTTCTTATGACATTGAAATTACCCCGTTGTTAGGAAAGATTTTAGATGGAAATAGTCATAAGATTTCATTTGGAGTCACGGATGCTCTGAACGTGTGGTATGTTGATGCAAATTTGCATCTTTGGTTGGACGGGAAAAGTAAGAAAACGGAAGGGAAGTTGTTGAGATACAGCTTATTGCCCCTTTCTTTATCGGTGCTGACCAATTTTACAGGTTTTGATGGATCCTTTATCACGAATGCTAGTAGGTCCATCACATTGACCGGAATGGTGAAGTCGTCTTATGGAACTATCACTACTAAGTCGTCTCAAAGTTTAAGTTATAGCAACCATATGGTAATGGGAAATGAAGGGAACTTGCAAATAGTGGATCAGATAATCGAATTCAATGATACTGTTTATGCCACGACGCCATCTTCTTATGTTCACTCGCTTGAGTCCTTCAAAAAGTATCTGTTGAAGTTGTATTCTGACAATGTAGATCAAGGAAACCAAAGCTATACCTCGATATCAAACTTGACGTTGGGATTAGATGACAAGAGGGTAAAGGGTTCCAAGTATGGATCCTCAGTCAGCTCTGTGAATAATTTGCAAAACGCGCAGGGCTATATGATTGTAAAGGGCCACTTAGTAGTCAAAGGACTTGGAAGTACCCAACAAGTATATAAACATAACGATGATTCGTGCTGCTACTCCAGGAACATAAGCAGCTCAAATTACACAATACTTTACGATAAGGTAAGCAATAGCTGCAGCAATAGTACTTGGTCTCATTGGCCTTTGAGGATTGACAAAAAGCGGTCTCTTCCTGGTTGAAGAGTCCTTTTTTGCAATCTCATCTTGACTCTTCCGAATTCCACTTTCACTCATTTGCTGCTAAAGCTACTTATTATTATGATGCAAATGCACCACTGCAGTGCCTCTTGTATTCTTGGACTTGTTAATTTTGCTAATATGCATGCTGTTTTGCTAAATGAGTTGTCTCTGAAACTTGACTTTGCCTATTTATCTTTTGTTGTTACGTCTTTCTTCAAACACGAGAAAATTTAGTATTTTGTCAAAGTTTACAGGCCTACAATCCTTGAGAAATTTGTTAGATCCATTCTTTCTTGGTGGCTTCTTTTTGCTCCTGTTTCACCCCTCTACTGCCACTCTATTGGTTTCGGGAGGGGGAAGAGGTTGAAGATTTGTTCAAAATGCAACTTCGTAGACGTTCTTTCTACATAACGCTATATCTTCATGAGAAGAACTTTGTTCAGCTTTCAATGACTTTGGCATAGCCAACATAGTTGCATTTGAAGTTTGGTATTTTGTGAAAAGTATACCAGGTTTCTCTTCCTATTGGCTCAACGTGAAATGTTTCTGGCTGAAGAAGCAACAAAAGTTATATTTTGAAACTTTATCTTCTCCTTAGCTCGAAGCTTTAGTCCTGTCAAGGTAGGGATAAGGTCTGTTTATACTCTACCATCCCGAGACCCCATTTGTAGGATTATACTGGGTATGTCCGTCTTCTTGTTGTTAGCTCGAAGCTGTATTTTGAGGTATTGTTGTATGAACTTGATAAATCTTGATCTAGTGGGAGCAAGTATGATCTTAGTTGATCTGTAATCTATATTCCAAATGGAAAGATCATTACTTGATACTGTGATTACTTTCGTCTACTTTCATTTGTAGTTTCCTTTACTTCAACTATCATATTATTTCATTTGTAGTTTCCTTTACTTCAACTAACAAGTTTGTGGTCCATATTTTTTAATTTTTTTTTACCAATTTTCATCTTGATCAATAAAAAATTATATTATTTGTCTTAGTTTATGTAATATAATTTCTATTTTTGAAATAATTCGCCCTGGTACTATTCATCCATTCATATATTCATGCTATTAATAATATTTCGCCCTTGTGATCAATAAAACTTCAAATCGAAATAAATAAACTTCATATGTCTAAATTTTTTAAAAAACACATTTCAAATCGATCAGCAAATATAATTTAAAATTGCCCTCAAGTCGAAATTTATTGGGAATCAAAGGCAATAATGCGAGGAATTTCTTTTATTTTATTCTTTTGCCAATTTTGCTTTCTTTAATTAATTTATTTATTTTCAAAAAAACTATTTTCAGATATTTATAAATTTTTGTAATTGGTATTTCTTTACACGATAATTCTTAAGAAAACTAAATGATATTTTTACGAAAAATAAACACATTTTCTTTATATATATATATATATATATATATATATTATCTCTTTTTTTTCTCCTTTTTTTTCAATTAGTTGATTTATTGTGTTTGTTAATTAAATTATATTATATTATATTATTGAGTTCATTGCTATCTAACGATAAAAGTAGTATCATTTTATGTAACAATCGATCTGATATGATCATGTAATACCTCATCATTTCTTTTTCTCATTTTACCTTGACTTATTATCTAATAATCTTATTTTAACTTACCTTCTACCATTTTATTATAGTTCTTTTCGATACTTCAATTTACTTTTTATTATTATATAAATTTATCTTTAAATTATGACGTATAATATTATGTAATGATCAAAATACATAACAACCACTCTAAACAATTTCTTAAATGTTATAACAACCATTTAAGTTGTTACAATTTTCTATTTTTCCCTTATTTTATCATCTAATAATCTTATTTTACGTTATACTCTATCATTTTATACTAATTTTTTTT